GGTGGATGAAAGTCATATAACTGCTAATTGTTACTTTTGGTAAAATTTTGAGGCTGTCTGGAACAGGACCTGGTGGCACAATGAGTTAGGCTGCTAACTGGCTAGGCTAGGTCAGCGGTTTAGATCCATCAGCCCCTCCTTGGGGAAAAGATGTGACTGTAGTCTCAGAAACCCTGTGGAACAGTCCTGTGGGCTTACCACGAGTGGAAATGGACTTGATGGCAGTGGGTTTGGACGTAATAAAAGGACAAAAACTTAAAGAATTCTAGCTTGTTTCACATGTTTTTTCCTACATTTAATATGTTTTTTATTCTCAGTATCCCCACATGGCAGATAAGAGAGATATGTTATTCTTCCTATTTTGTAACAGTTAAGTACCACAGAAACACCCTTAATTTGTCAAGCAATTTGTAGAACTTGTAAAGTAGAACCAGAGCCAATTAGTACTTTGGGCCCTGGATGGGGGGAAAAATGGCCAGGCACCTAGGAAAGGCAAACCAAGTAGATAATCTTTTGTGGTTATGAACTGGAGGTATAATTGATGGCTCTTAATAAAATCTCTTCATTCAGTTGTGACTTTTTAGGAATATTGCAAACCCATCATTACTATTGTTTTGCTTAGGTTGTTGTTGCTAAGTGCTGTTGAGTTGCTTCTGATTTACAGTGGCTCTGTATAGGGTTTCCAAGGAGCAACTGGTGGGTTTGAACTGCCAGCCTTGTAGTTTGCAGACCAGTGCTGATCCACACCAGGATTCCTTGCTTAGGTTAGATAGCCGCTTTTAATGTTGTATATGTATTTGTAGGCAAGAAAACTCCCTCAGGGTTTCTTGACCATTTTTGTGCCAAGGATACATACTTTGGACAGCCTGGTGAAATCTCTTTTTAGAATAATGTTTTTAATATATAGAATTGCAAAGGAAACCATTCTAAGAAATAGTTCTGACAAATCTGTGATAATAGTATATGAGTATACTCCTATTTTGGAGTCCTGGTATGGTGCTGTAGGGTAAGCACTGGACCTCAAGAATAGTTTGCACTGTAAGGTCAGTGGTTCAAATCCACCAGCCACTCCTCGGAAACCCTAAACAGGATTGCCATTGAGTTAGAACTGACTCAACAGCACCAAACAACGACAACATATACTTATTAAAAGGCTGTTAGCAGAATGCCTAATTATCAGAATTTCAGTGTAGTGATGAATATAAAAGGATATTTTGAAATGGCTGTGATGAGTATATCATGAAATAAATATATATGTAATTTCTGTTATGACAGAGTCACAGATACTGCTGCTATTACTGTGAAGGTGTTTGCTTATTTTTGTAATGGGAAAAAATTATAAGTTAGTTAGTGAAAAGTTGTAATATTTTTTCTCCCTATGTATGTTCATGGACCTCATGAATTCTAAATATGGATCTTTTGGAGGGGTAAGCAGAATTTGTGAATGCAAGTTTAAGAACCCCTGTTATAAAATATAACCATTCTGCCTTTGTTTAAGAGGGGAGACTTTAATTTTCTGATTTACAAAAGAACCTAATCTAAACTATCTTATCAATGTCTTTGTGTTCTGTTCCCCCCATAAGGAATCAAATGGCTTATTAACTCTAGTCTTCTTACCCTGCGTTGTATTTGCAGTGTATTTATTGTATCTTTTAAAGTAGAAAGCGTTAGAATGAACTCTATTTTAGGTTGGCACTTTACGAAGTTGTTTCACTGTACCATTGTATTCATAAATCTTTAGGTGTGAAGTCTTTGGTTTCATTTGCTTATAGCAGAATTTGGTTTTACTAATGTTTTATCATATCTAACTTTTTCACTCCTCTTTTGTACCCCTTTTTCTAGAAATATTCCTTGCATGCCCCCCCCCCCTATTATTTTAAGGTCATTTATGCAGGTAAAATCTGGTAATGTAGACAGTTTTATTTCTACTCCCAAGAAATGATAATCATTTTACTTTGCAAATAGCTCTATTGAGACACTATTTACATACAATAAAATGTGCCCGTTTCAAATTCAGTTTGTTTGATTTTGGCAAATACGTAGTCCTATGACCAGTTATATTCAGACTGCAAACATCTCCATCACCCCAAAAAGTGACCTCAAGCTCGTTTGCAGTCCATCACTTTCAGGTACTCTTCTATAGTACACTAGAGAGTTTTCCTTTTTTTTTTCATTCCACATAAATGGAATCATGCAGAATTTATCCATTCACTAGTTGTTATTGTTAAGTGTGGTTGAGTCAGTTCCGACTCAGCAACCCTGTATAGGGTTTACGAGGAGTGACAGGTGGGTTTGAACTGCCAACTTTTCAGTTAGCAGTCCTGTGCTCATCATACAGCGCCACACCAGGACTCGTTCACTAGTTAATGGATATTAATGCAATTAACAATTGATAGACATTTGGGTTATTTCTGATGTTATTTTAAATAATACTGCTATGAACATTTTCATACAAGTCTTTTTGTGGACATATGTTTTCATTTTTTTGGGTAGATTACCTAGGAGTGCAATTGCTGGCTTTTATGGTAAGTGTATGTTTTTATAAAACAGCCAATGTGTTTTCTAAATGGCTGCACCATTTTGCGTTCCCACCAGCAGTGTATGAGCGTTCTAATTGCTCCATATTTTCACCAGTACTTGGTATTGTCAGTCTTTTGAGTTTTAGTCTTTTTAGTGAGTGTGTAGTGTTACCTCATTGTGGTTTTAATTTTAATCTTCATGATAACTAGTAATCCTGAGCATCTTTTCATCTTTTCATGTGCTTATAAATCATTTGTATAAAGCCCTTTGTGAAGTGTCCGTGCAGATCTTGTAGCTTTTTTTTTTTTTGTAAATCTGTGGGAGAGATGGTGTGTCATGTTGCGTTGATTATATTTGGTTATAAGAGTTCATTATTATATATTTCAGATAAAACTCCTTTCTCTGATATATTTTCTCCAAGTCTGTGGCTTACTTTTTCATTTAAAAAAAGAAAAAGGAAAAACTTTTGCGAAGAGCAGAAGCTTTTCATTTTTAAGTAGGACACGTTAACAGTGTTTTTCTGAAACGTTCATGCTGTTTGCATCCCATCTTACCAAAGTTTTGCTTCACCTGAAGAAAGGTTTTCTCATAGAAGATTTATAGTTTAAGTTTTTAATGATTATATTAAAGTTAAGTTTTACATACATATGATTTAAAGCCAGGGTACATTTTCACTTTTTGGCATACCAATCCCTAGGTTTTTGACACCCTTTATCGAAAAGACCATTGTTCTCTTTCATTTAGCTACAATTTTAGCTTTGTTGAAAATCAGTTGACTGTATGTTGTGGGTCTACTTGTGTATTTTCATATTTTATTGACTTATGTTAGAGGTCATCAAGCCAGATCCAGTCTGTAGCCTGTTTCTGGAACATGACCATGTCCATTCATGTATGTATTACCTAGAGCTCCTGGAGACCAGATTTGATTGTTACAGAGACTCGTTGGCCTGCAATGTTAAAAAATACTTACGTAGTCCTTTACAGAAAAAAGTTAGTCAACCTCTAATCAATATATGTATGCTTTTACTGATATTATTCATATTGCTTACTGTAGTTTTTTTTTTGTTTTAAGTAATCTTGAAAGAAGGTAGTATAGTATAAGTCCTTCAACTTTTCCTCTGCTTTTTTTTGAAGTGTGCTGTTTCTAGGCCCATTGTATTTCTGTGTGCAATTTTGAATCCGCTTGTCAATTTATACAGAAGCCTACTGAGATTTTGATTGGGATTGCATTGAATCAGAAATCCCATTGGAGAGATTACTGTAAAATACCATTTTCCAGTCCATGAACATGGAATATTTCTGTATTTGTTTAGACTCTTTAATCTTGCCCTGCAATATTTTGTACATTTTAGTATACTGATCTTGCATATCTTTTGTTAAGTTTATCTATGCCTAACTGTTTTGTGTATCAGTGCACCTATAAATAGATGTTTTAAAAATACCATTTTCCGGTTGTTTGTGGCTGATAAGAAATATGGTTGATTTTGTGTACTGATCTTCTGTTGTGTACCCTTCCTGATTGATTTTATTCTCCTAGTTTTTCTAGATTCCTCAGGATGTTTTACATACATGATGATATCATCTTGTGTGCCTTATTTTTGCCTTAATCTTTTAGGTAGAATTTCTAGTACAGTGTTGAATAGAAAGGGTGAAAGCAGGCTGTAGTTACTGATTTTAGGTAGAATCATTTTAGTTTTCATTAAGGTCAACTGTAGGTTTTATTAGGTGATCCTTATCAGGTTGAAGAATCTCATTTTTACTCCTAATTTGCTGAGGTTCTTAAAAAAATGATGAATGAGTATTGAATTTTTAAATATTTCTTTCAAATCTATTGAGATAGTCATGTTTTTGCTCTTATTAATATGATAGATTGCATTGATTTTTGGATGTTAAAATAATTTGCATTCTTGTAAAAAATCCACTTGGTCATGCTATATTAATTTTTTTTAATATTGGATTTAATTTGCTAGTACATTGTATTTTTTTAATCAATATTCATTATAGGTATTGGCCCATCGTTTTCTTATGATGTCTTTGTTTGATTTTGATATTTGGCCTCATAAAATGAATTAGAAACTGCTTTTTCTTCTCTGTTTTCTGGAAGTGTTTATTACAAGATCAGTGCTTTATATTAATTTCTGAAATATTTGATAGAATTTATCATTGAAGCAATCTGATTATTGTTGTGTAATTTTTATCAGTAGCCAAGTTGTTAGAGGTTCACAATTTTCCCTTAAATTAGCTCAATGTAAAGGGCACTTTCCCGGCACAAATAATGAAAATACATTCAGCTTTATCCTGCTTTCTGATTTTTGTTATACATGGAAAGGGCATGTATAAGAAGTTGAGAACCAGACTGTCCAACTGCATACTTGAAACATGATAGGGAAATAATTTATTTTTATATTTTGGCTAAATGTTTAATGCTGTCCTTGTATTTTATTGCTCTGCTTAATCACCATTGCTTTTGTTGCTTTCAGGAAATTAAAAGGAGTCTAGAAAGTCAAGCTGAAAGGAAACTGGAAGGTCAGAATCTCCAGAGTCCACAACAGGTCTCACAGTATCTCAACATGTGCTCAGAGCAAAATGTTCATGTGTCTGCCGTGCCAAATAAGCCACCAGTTCTGCAGTATGGCAATCCGTATGCAGTACAGGAAACAAGAGGTTATTAAAATATTTTTGGTTTGGGGTTAGCTGAATCTGGCTATTTTTTGTTTTGTTTCTATTTCACTGGGATACAGTCAACTCTAGTAGAAACATTAATTTATTTGTATAATTCTTCAGTGTAACTGGACTCATCGAGTTGTGATATACCACAAAGTAGTCTATTTGCGTATTGCGTATGTTGTTGGTGTTAAGTGCTGTCAAGTCAATTCCGACTCATAGCGACCCTGTATAGGGTTTCCGAGGAGCAGCTGGTGAGCTTGAACTGCCGACCTTGCAGTTCAAACGGCTTTGCAGTCTGGCCCATTATTGTCATTTTAATAAAATCACTTGGGTTAAAAATAAAAACACCTAATATGTTTAATGCCACAAAATGGTTCTGTATATCCTGTTGATCATATTTATTTATACACAAAATTGTTAATTTGAGTACCAGCTTTCACTCTAGTCTTCAAAAATGTTTATTGCAGATGGAGCAGATGGTGCCTTTTATCCAGATGAAATTCAAAGGCCACCTGTTAGAGCACACTCTTGGGGACTGGAGGACAGTGTTGTCTGCAGCCAGCCTTCTCGAAACCTTAGTCGCCCTGATGGTTTAGAAGACCCTGAGGATAGCAAAGTAAATTGATTTTTCCATTTTCTGAGCTGGCCTTTCTTATTTTCTGTCTTTAGTAGAGAGGGGGAGATAGATGGATACATTTATTTATATACCTGGCTGCTTGCTTATTTATTTTTAGAAAAACTGGGTAGCGTGTAAATATGAAAAATCAATCATAAATATGTTTTGTATTTCTGTTTATACAGAGTAAAAGATTGAGTTCAGTAAACAATCTCAAGTATTGTAGTTAATCAGATATATTAATCTTAATCATCCTTCCCTAAGTACCTTACCATGTATGCTTTTACATACATTCATGTAAAAATGGTATTAAAAGATAATGAAAAATTTCCATGAACTTTTTGAAGCCTCCATTTTGATGCCCTTGGCTGTAGGAAGCAAAGTGTTAATGGCAGTATTATGCTTCCATATGATTATTTTAATTGTAGCATTTATTTCCCATGAATTTTTAAACACAAGATTTTTTTTGGTTAATAAAAATAGGGAAGGGTATGTATGTATCATGCAGTATTCCTAGAAGTATTCTTTTAGGCATCTTTAGTGTTGATGTAGCAGATCTTATTCTCTGGCAGCAACACAATACTAATGATAATTGAATTAGTTTGTGTAACTTGTCAAGATTTTTTAATTTTTCATATAAGAGATTTCTTAACCATTTAATAAATAGGTTCTTTTCCTCATAACAGCTCCTTTTGGATTTCCTGTACTTTAAGATGAATTTATAAGAAATGCTTTATCGTGCTCTTTGCAAGTACAGGAGTATCATGACCTGTTTCTCATTTAATCTAGTTTGCTGCATTTAATTGCTATTAACCTTTGCAGAAACTGATCAGTGTTCAGACAGGCATGATTTTAGCCCTAGTGCTCAACACCCATAATGGAGAAAAATGTATTTCTCCCTCCTGCCTTTTGGCCTCCTGTGTCCATTACTGGGAATAATTAGGAAAACTGTCAGAACTTTTGTAGCCTATTTAAAGTCTAGAGTATCATCTTACTGCTTTTTCACACCTTTGCTTCATATTTTGCATATTTAATCTGATCATTCTTGGCACAGATGTTACATGTGACAAGCCCTTCTCTTCCGTAGTCATCTGCTTCAGTTTAATTAGCAGAATGTTCTTTCTGATCTGTGTGCTTTGCCCTCCTGCAAACCCATGAGAAGCAGTGTTGGGAGTCTTGTGCTCATTTGCTGACATACTTAGATTTGGTAATGAGATCGAAGGACTCTTAATATGCATACCTTGGGTAATTGTGTTTTTTTACAATCAGGATTTTTCACAGTACACAGAAACTAATTTTTATGTACATTCCGTTTTCTGTAAATTTCCTGTCATTGCAAATAAATTCACTTAGACTGATGAAGTATTTTAGCACATAATTTCAGTGAAAATATGGAAAGTGAATTTGAGTTGACTTGTTCCTTTTTTGTTTTCTCTGCCCTGGGAATGAGAAACAGCTACAGGACCCAGACCAGAATGTGTGAGTCAGGGTTGAGGTGCCCTACTCTTGAAGCCTTTTCCAGTAGGTGTACCTTCCATAGCTCATCCTTCTGCACCAGATACTTTTACCTAATAATTGAAATGGCATGATGTCATACTTGTGATAGTGATGGCAACAAATGCTAAGCTTGTTAGATGTATACAGTTGTGTGTTCTTTATAGCTCTGTATGAGGTAGAAACTAGTACTCTCTTCTCTAGTGGAGAAACAGACACAGGGAGATGAAATAGCTAGCTCCAAATCACATGATGGTGAGGGTAGAGCCATGATTTGAGTCTCGTCAGTTTGGCTATAGAAACTGGATTTTACTGCCTTAGAAAATAGATTAAACCAGAGGTTTCCTAACTTTCTCAGTTTGTTGCACTCTTTTTGTCTTAGATACTGACTTTTAGCCAAGGGGTGTTGTGAAAAAAATTATTAACAGTATGTTAAGTAATTTTGTGCATCCCAAAAAAAAGTTTAAAAAGTGAGGTGCAGGGAAAAAAGCTTGAGACAGTCCTCAGCTGAGAGAAAGCCTTTCCTAGTGCACCCCCAGAGGGAGCAATGAAAGGCCCTCCAGACACCAAGCAGAGCTCACAACTGACCCTCTTGCCTCAGAGTGGGGCATGACCATTTCGTTTAGGATGCAGCAGAAAGAGAGCTAAGACCGATGATTTAACATGCTGAAAGAACTAGAAAACCTAGACTCTAAACCTAAAAAAAAAAGTAATTTGGTGTAAGTAAGTATTTATGTAGCCATTTGAAAAAATAATATACATACACGAGTTGAAATTCTAATGTTTCTATTTATTGTTAGGGTATATGTGTCTGTTGACCACTGTGCAGCCGCCTCTCAAACCTTGAAATCAGACTGCCTCCTCATTTCCTGTTTCACATGGATCTCACATGGAAACCCTTTTCTGTGGGGTCTGTCCTAACTCACAGCGACCCTGTAGGGCAGAGTAAAATTGCCACATCTCTGGCTAATGGGTTCAAACTGATCTTTCAATTTGCAGTCATGCTTAACTGCTAAAAACCTAGTTTTTCAAAGATAGCTAGTATTGAAAGGAATGTAACACTATGGAATGTTGAGGCTGTGAGCTACCGCAAACTAATAGTTCTCGTGATAGCTGACACATGTTGACTATTTCTCTGTTTCCCTAGAAAATTAAAACGATCCCATTCTACTTCTGGAATTCACTGTGGCGCCCTTGGGCACATTGGTACTCTGGTTTTGTAACCGTGGGTCTAAACCCTTGCAGCATTAGCATTGTGATTTATGGTCAGTGGTATTGCTGTCTTTTGGGAACCTGTTAGAAATGTAGCATCTCCAGCCCTGCGCCAGACTTACTGAGAATCAGACTGCGTTTTTTTTTAAATTCTTAGGTAATCATTTGTTCATTAAAATTCAAGGTGTATTTTCTAAACTTTTCATAGTTGGACTGCTCTTTAACACACCATCCTACTTGCCAGTTGTTTTTATGCGCCCCCCCCCCTTTTTTTTTTTTAAATGTTTCATTGTGAATTATGTGATAGTTTACATGGGAGAATGTTAGTTTTACATTCATTCTGTCGTATATGGTTTCATTGCCATGGTTACAGTCCCCTCCGTGCATCACCAACCAATGAAAGGGTATATACCCTGAAAGCCTGCCCCCCCCCCCCCCACCCACCCCCGGATTGTCAGCACTCAGCCCCTCTCCCTCTCTGGGTCTAAAGTCCCCAGCCACTCCATCTCTCCTCATCATCGTCTCTCTGCCTCCATCTCTGGCATCACTG